CTACATTCTATAATCCTGGATTGAAATTATAAATAAACTGATAAATCCGAACATAAACATCTACTGTGACTATCTTTTGCCCTTTTTGGTAATTTGTGTTCTACATTTGCAACTTAAATTTATTGGTCAATTATGTTCTCCTTGTACGTTGAGTGAATAATAATTATTATTATTATTATACAGGGTGGCGCATCGAAAACGAAACAGACGTATTTACTGGCAGTCATTTTTTTTTTTGAAAAACGCTCAGACCCGTCGATTTTGTTTTCAAGGGGGACACAAGTTAGGCAAACAATCACGTTAGCACGTGCAGCCTCCTAAGCGGGGGTGACACCACCCCCAAAATCTTAAATGGAAGGGGAGTCGAGTGATACTTTATTTTAAAGGTCTTTCAATTTCCCTTTATATTGATATAAAATTAATGTACTTCAGTTCTGTAGTTTTGAAGATTTATTGATTTAAAGCTTAAATAAAGCTAATACATCATCATTAGTGGAGATCAATACATTTGGCAGCAAAGTAATTTAAAAATGAAGAATGAACTGACCCGTTAGGCAAGTAGATGTTGAAAATGGCCACTATGACTCTCCATGCAATAATAAATGTTCGAAAAATCACCAGCCTACGCCTGCACCAAGGTATTCAATAAGTTGCCATCAATACTAAAGGATATTAGATGCTCAAATAGGTTCAAGAAAGAGCTGAGGAGTCTGTTAATAGAAAGATGCTACTACACAGTAGCCGAGTTTCTTTCAGGGTAAGAGTGATGCACCAAAAAATTAAATAGGAAACTATGGCTGTATATATGTGTGTATATATGTATATGTATATATGTATATGTATGTGTGTCTATATATATGTATGTGTATATATGTGTGTCTATATTTACTCGTATATGCGTACCTATTTTTTTTTTCTATTTTTATTGTACTTACTTCTTTTACACCTTGTTCTGTTTATTATTATAGTATCTGTTGTTTTCTCGACTAAACTGTGTTTCTTTCCATTTTAAACCGACAAATTTATGTATTTATACTTAACTATATTTTTAATTTTTGTAGATAATAATGTACTCATAGTGATATGCCTGACGAGTCTTATATCATTTCTATGATCCGAAGACAATAAAGCATCTATCTATCTCTCTAAAGATTTTGTTCAAAACGTTGCCGCACATTTTGCAATATTTGAGGAGTAATTTGAAGGCACTCATTCACAATTCTGTGACGCAGGTCTTCTAATGATGTTGGCCGAGTAGCATAGATTTTGCTTTTTAAATGACCTCACATAAAGAAATCCAAAGGTTATAAATCTGGCGATCTTGGGGGCCATTTAATGGCACCACTTCTACCAATCCATCGATCTGGAAACGTCTGATCTAAATATTGTTGAACACGTAATGCGTAATGTGGTGGGGCACCCTCCTGTTTGAACATACAACCTATTCGCAATGTAACACCGATCATTCTGATTTTCAATTATGGCTGTTAATGCAGGATCTATGGCGTCTTCCAGTAATTCTAAATACATTTCACCGGTCAAATTTCCAGGTAAGAAAAAGGGACCAACTAAATGGTCGCCAAAAATACCAGCCCAAACATTTAATTTTTGTGGCTGCTGAGCATGAACCTCATGATAAATTCTGGGATTAGAATCGGACCAGTATCGGCAGTTATGACGATTTACTACGTCATTTAAGAAAAAGGAACATTCTTCGGAAAAGCAAGTGTTGAATAGAAAATGTTCATCGTTTATAATTCGTTCACTCATATCTTCCCAAAATTGTAATCGCCGATCAAAATCGTCTTGTACCAGGTGAATTTTATACGGATGAAAACTATGGGCCTTTAGAATCCGTTGGAAAGTAAGTCGACTAACACCACACACAGTCTCCAATTTGAGGGTACTTAACGTAGGATCTACATAACCTTGCCCTAAAACCCCCACTTCTATTGCTTCGTTCCTTATGGGATTTTCAATGTTGCGTTTTTTATTGGCGACTGACCCAGTTTCCCGAAATTTAGCTACAAGTTCTAGAACATACTTTCGATGCACGTTACTGTTCTCATGTCGCTCATTAAATATTTCTGCTGTTCTATTAGCGCACTGATTATTTCCGAAAACTATTTCGATAATTTCAACTCTTTCTGCTGTGGTTAATTTATGTAATAAAGCGTTACAAGTTATTTTAGCAACAAAGTTTGATCAAATCAATCGCAAAATTCCTATTTAAAATAAGTATGATCAACAAAATAACTATTTTGCCACAAAAAAACGCTCCAATGGCTATTTTCAACAACAAAATGATAAACAAACCATGGGCGTAGTGAAGAAAAGCATTTACTTATTAAGTTAATTTATTTTTTTTTTGTTCTGTTATTGGCACTGGTCGATAACCAACTGGCCAGATCCTTATGTTCAGTATAATGCTATGCTTTAATAGAAAATAGAACATCCATTACTTAATATTACTATTGTATATTATTTCTATTATAGTTACATAGAGTATGCGAACACATATTTCTCCTTTTTTAAAGTTTTTTTTTAACCAATACTTTTTACTTATTTTTTGCTTTTCTCTATTTTGTTTATAAGATTGTTTTTTTTAATTATGCATATCTACATATATATATACAGGGTTATCCAAATTAAGTGTCCACCATTAGTAACTTTGTTATTAGTGAAAATACAAAGTTGTTTGAATTAGCAAACTAGTAGCATTTTTAACGCTGGTAAAAATGAGAAATAAAAAAAACAATTGAGAGTCGTTATTTTTTTTAATGGAAACCCCTGTATATTATATTTTTTTCTGTTAAAGCATCAAATTTTAAACAAAAAAGCTTACAATAACTTTTCTCCTAGGTTACAAATTGTTGAAGTTATGGCCTCCAATCTGAAACAATTAAATTGTATCGACAAACTTTATTTTCAACATCAACTTATAATCTTACAAAATACAATAACAATTTTTTTTAAAGAAGATGCTCGAAAACACCACCTTGTTCTTCAATACATTTTTGGGCACGTTTTTCAACTGCTCGAACTGTCTTAAGTATGGTCCTACCATCTATCTGGGTTATCTTTTCCCTAACTGCAGTCTTTAACGCGTCAAGGTTATCGTACCTTCGCTTGTAAATTTGGTTCTTTAAGTAACCCCACAAGAAGTAATCAAGTGGGTTTAGATCTGGTGATCTGGGAGGCCACTGTATTGGGCCATTTGTTCCTATCCACTGATCATTAAAAGTAGTACTTAGAAAATGATAAGTACCTCTGGAGTTGTGGGCAGGTGCGCCATCTTGCTGAAAATGCAGATGATGTCTACTTATAAGATCCAATTCGTCTAAGAAATTAGTCAGAATTTCTGACATAAATTCCACATATCTTTCACCAGTTAGGGTTCCCTCATAAAAGAACGGGCCAACAATTTTTGAACCAATTATACCGCACCAAACGTTGAAACTGAAACGGACTTGTGGGCCTCTTGGATGTACTAACAAAAGATTTTCTCTTGACCAATAATGGTGGTTTTTTCTATTAAACATTCCAGAATTTGAAAAATTTGATTCATCTGTCCATAAAAGGTAACGAAAGTTATTTACATTTTGGCGACAGAAGCTAAGATACCAATGGCAAAAAACAAGTCTTCTCTCTGGATCCCCTGCCAAAAGCGTTTGAACTGGTCGGTACTTATACGGAATAAATTTGTATTTTTTTAAAATCCTTTGAACGGTACCATAACTGAAATTAGAGTCCTTGAGAATATCTGCTATTGAATTCTCACGATAAGCTTCAAAATATCCAATAACTGCAATTTCCGTGGCCTCGCTTATTATGAATTCTTTTTTTGCCCTTGTTTTAGCAAAAACATTTTCGTTGCCCCTAAATTTTCGATAAAGTCTCAGAAAATATCGTTCATACGGTTGAATGCGAGCGGGATATAATTCACTGTAGTATTCTCTTGCTCTCAAGGAGGATTTTCTGCACACTAAATAGCATTCTAACATATCACACTTTTCTTCATAGGAGAACATTTTTCTTTAAATTAATGACACAATAAAGCCTATAAACAAGTATTTACACTAATGTTTGACATTATTTGATTTTATCATTGTTTTCCAAAGCCTTCTAGTTGCGAGTATGTCCAGTTTAACAATTTGTCGCTTATCTTAATGCTGTCAAATCGCGAACGCCATGTTGTTTTCATAGCCGTCTTAATATTATAATACTGCAAATAATTAAAAATATTTATCGTTATTTTGACTTTATTTTAGCGGAAAAGTCATTATGAACTTTTTTGTTTAAAATTTGATGCTTTAACAGAAAAAAATATAATATACAGGGGTTTCCATTTAAAAAAATGTTATTTTACTGAAAAAAATCAAAATAACGACTCTCAATTGTTTTTTTTTATTTCTCATTTTTACCAGCGTTAAAAATGCTACTAGTTTGCTAATTTAAACAACTTTGTATTTTTACTAATAACAAAGTTACCAATGGTGGACACTTAATTTGGATAACCCTGTATATATTACTTTTTATTTTTTCAAACAAACTTACTGTGATTTACATAAGTAAATTCTTTTAGTCAAATTTCTTCTGAAAGTAGTACAAACTAATCTGATGTACCTATTAAAGTCTACTTTAAGCTTTAAATCAATAAATCTTTAAAACTACTGAACTGAAGATCATGTATTTTACATCATTATAAAGGGAATTGAAAGACCTTTAAAATAAGGTATCACTCACCCCCCTTTCCTAATACATTTTAGGCTTGGTGTCACCCCCGCCCAGGGGACTGCACGTGTTAACGCGATTTTTTGCCTAACTTGTGTCCCCCTCGAAAACAAAATCGACAGGTCTGAGCATTTTCCAAAAAAAAAATGAGCTGCGTCTGTTTCGTTTTCGATGCGCCACCCTGTACAGCGTTACGTTTGGAACTAAACCGAGTATAATCTAACAGATCGCAGAATCAACCTGCTTGACACCAAGTTTTGACTTACGCTAAGGACCAATCGTAGAGCGTATCCACAGAGAAAGAACAGCAACACGAACGGACTCGGCGCGCCGTTGCATCTGATCAGCGTGTGCATCACTAGCTCCTAATGTAACTAGTTCCTGATGTGCGGGGTTGCGTCAAAGCGTGGCCCGTTGATGATGACGCCCGTTCATATAATCTCGACAACAATTACCGCGAAACAATGCAATTTAGGAATGGATCCGACGGCTTTATACGCGGACGACGCCGAAGAAGATCTCGGCAGATTAGGTAAGATCCTCTTCAAGTGATGGGGACTGTATGCGTGAACTCATATGATTGCAGTTAGATGTTAGTAGGGGACGTTTATGGTATTGATCAAATGTGTTCAATTTTTCATATACTATGATGGCATCAAAAAGACGTAGATACATTAGTGTACTGTTTTAACATGAAATTTTTCTGAGATTGATAAATTGAATGGGAGCTTCATTTCTTCGGAAGTCGGCATAAGGGGCCGTCAAGTATTACGTCAGCACTATGGGGGGGGGTCTTTTCTTTGCCTATTTTGGATGACATGGGGGTCGGGGAGTCTAGATTATGATTACGTCATCGGTAGTTATTTACTTTTTTACACGAATGGCAACCCTCACATTGTCTTTGCTTGAAAACGAAACGCATTTTCGGGGATTCCCGCAAATAATGCATACGTTTAGTGAACAGCGCGCGGTAATTCCCCTACTCGCTTTAGAACCGAGTAGGGGAATTACCGCGCGGTGTTCACTTGTCTAAATTTCTTCTATCAGTGTATTGTTTCGTTTGGATACTATAGCGAGTAGGCGTATTGTAAGCATATTGAAGCAAGTTAACATTTGTGTTACCATTGATTCCATTAGCCAAAGTTTAATGTTTAAATAAGATGTCGTTTCACATAGACAAATCCAAGTTATACCAAAAATAGTTTGAAAGTTTTAAAAAATCTCAAACAAGTACGAAAGCACAAAATGTACAAAAGTTAGTTAACGAAGTGTGGCGAAATTACAAATTACAAGCAAAATCCGACAAGGAACTAGATATTATTGTATCTAAGAGAATCGAACAAGAATTGCAAGCGGCGACTAAGAATAATCCAAACTACTAAATTTTTTTTCTAAGGTGAGTGACGAAATCATTTTAGGTACCTATGAGTACTAGAAATTTTAGAAATCGCCAAAAAGTTTTTCTTTACTGATTAGAAAATATTATGGCCTATCTCAAAGTATAGAGGTAATGTTCATCATATTATAGATTTATTTCTTATGATTGATTCCGTCAATTGGTCACAAAGTACAGGATGTTAGTTTTATACATGTACTAAGTGACATATAAATCCGAACACCCAGTATAAATGGTTTTATTTTAATAAAAGTTGGTGAATGTATTTATCTTACTGTAAATAACAAGTGAAAAAATTTTCAGCCTTATCAGTTGGACATTCCGGTTTTTATACTGCTTTTTTTTAATTCACTAACGCTCTAAAAATGAATATTTCAGCCGCAGTAAAGAATCAACGTTGGCGGATTTTGGTTCTTGACATCCTTTACGATCGGTTACGATGCCTAGAGTACGGAGACCTGTACGATTTCGTCAACTTAGTGAGTTTGATAGGGGCCGTATAGTGGGACTTCGGGAAGCTGGACCTTCTTTTCGGGCAATTCCAGTTAGAGTGCAAAGAAGTGTAGACACTGTGGTTAGGTGTTGTCAGGCATGGCTTCGAGAAGGCCCTACGCAAAGAGCAAGGGGCACTGGACGCTGCCGTAGAACAACAGACCGTGAAGATCGCCGCCTAAGGTTATTGGCTTTAAGGGACCGTTTCTCCACTACCAGGTCCATTGCAAATGAATGGTTTGCAGAACACGGAAGACCTATTGGCATGCAAAGTGTTTACCGACGAATGAGAAGTCTTGGCTTGTTTTCATACCTTCCACACTGGGTCCTCCCTTTAACTCGAGAACACCGACGTAATCGCCTTGAGTGGTTCAGACAACGGTCACTCTGGGATCAGGAATGGAACAGTATTGCCTTTAGTGACGAGTCTCGATTTTGTTTAGGCATGCACGATGGTCGTGCCAGGGTTAGAAGGCGACGTGGTGAAAGGAGGAATCCACAGTTTTTTGTTGAAAGACATGTTCATCACACTGTTGGAGTTATGGTTGGGGGTGCTATAGCTTATGGTTCCAGGTCACCTTTAATCTTCAACAGAGGTAACTTGAACGCGCAGCGTTATATCCACGAAGTTCTAGAACCCCATCTTTTACCCTATCTTGACACCCTGGCAGATCCAACTTTCCAACAAGATAATGCCTGACCACATGTTGCAAGAGTCACAATAGACTACGTTCAACATAGTGATGTCACATTGTTACCATGGCCACCAAGATCTCCCGACTTATCCCCAATTGAGCACGTGTGGGATATGATGGGTAGGAGATTGCTCAATTTGCAACGTCCTCCTCAGACTCTAGAAGCACTTCGAGAGGAGTTGGTGGTTGCCTGGAATGAGATACCACAGGAGGACATTGACCACCTGATCAGAAGCATGCCTAGGCGCGTTGGAGAATGTGTAGCACATCAGGGTGCATCCACACATTATTAAAGGTCAAAGGGCTTTAAAGCAGTGCAATCATTTTGAAATTTTTATCATTTACTTATTATGCTTCATTAAGTACTTATACAAAATTTTATTAAAATAAAACCATTTAAACTGGGTGTTCGGATTTATATGTCACTTAGTATATATACAGAAAACTAACAACCTGTATTTTTTGACCGGAACGAATTGCTCTTTTAAACATATTAGATTTAAAGCCATAGGGTTTTGTATTTACCGTATACATTGCCATACTTTGTATTTATGTAGCTTAATAAGAGAATCTTTAGCAGAAGCCATAGAAAGTTTTTATTTTTAGGCAACCTGTAAACCTGCAGAAAAAAACACAAATTATATATTCAGCTTGAAATATTAAAAAAGAGGAAGAAGATAAAATAAAACCCGGTAATGAATCACAACAACAATGCGAAATTAATGAAAATACAGATAAACAGAGAGCAAAACCTTCTCAGGGAGCCTTGAAAAATAAGATTGCTCTACTCGAATGCTTTGTATTCTGCCAGAGATACTATCCCAGGCCGTGCTGAAGTTGATAAACAGATCATTAAGTTGCGGGAGGAAATAAAAAACAGCAAAACAGTCTTTAAACAGGAAGGTTCAAAACGCAGTTGCCCAGAAGAAACACAGGGATGGTATGAAAAGAAAGTTAGAAGATATTTGTCATGAAAATCCAGAAATAAAAAAAATACTATCTCTGAGGGATTCAGTGGGACGTCCTAATCTTGAAAGCAATCAATATTCAGTATTGAAAACAATCGCGGATATAGCTTTATTTGGGAGCGCAGCAGATGATAGAAGACGAACGGAATCAATTCGCAGCGTAAAAGCTCTTGATGAACTCACGCAAGAATTACATAAAATAGGATTTGACATTAGTCGCAGTGGGACATATCTTCGTTTGATTCCCAGCAAATCTAATTCTGCAGAGGGACGAAGACATGTATCGACAGTCCCTGTTAAGCTCATTCGGGCTCAAACTGATCACCACAAGAGCCACTTAGATAGCAAGTTCGCTGAAACATCAATCCAATATTTAGAGAACATAGCATCCCTACTTGGTCCAGATCAAGTATTTTTCATATCTCAAGATGATTAAGCTCGAGTCCCTATTGGCGTAACTGCGGCAAATAAGCAAGCACCTCTTCTAATGCACATGGAATATAGAATCAAATTGCCTGATCACGATTGGGTAATCGCTGAGCGTCATAAATTAATACCATCTGTTTATGCTGGTATCAAAATCACTTCCAATATGCTAGGACAACCGCAAGCCGTTGGATATGCTGGACCAACATACATCGCTATTCGAAGTGGAAAGTATAGTTCATCTACTGCTAATACTCATGCTCAGGATGTCGAGACGCTTCTCGAATTTGAAGAGTTTCGACCATTAGCTAAAACTGACCATGGACTAGTAAAACCAGTGGTAATCATGACGGTTGATAGAGGGCCAGATGAAAATCCACGTTATCAAAAAGTCATAGGGTTTGCTATACAACAATTTAAACGACATGATCTCGATGCATTGTTTTTAGCTACCAATGCTCCTGGAAGAAGTGCATATAACAGAGTAGAGCGCAGAATGGCTCCTCTTAGTCGGGAACTGGCTGGTTTAATATTGCCTCATGACCTTTTTGGGTCTCATTTCTATGAACGTGGCGTTACAATTGATGAACATTTAGAAAAATCTAATTTCGAATTTGCAGGAAATGTATTAGCTGAAGTATGGAGTTCAATGGAAATTGATGGCTATAATGTTAATGCAAAATATGTTGCGGCAGGTGAACAAGATCTTCCTGATTTTCCAGACATTAAATGGTATTCAGAACATGTGCCTGAGAGCCAATACTTGCTTCAAATTGTAAAATGTCGAAATACAGAATGCTGTCGTCCAAGAAGTGGCCTATTCAGATTGCTAGACAATAGGTTTCTTCCACCACCTGTAAAAGTAAAAGGAACACTTGATGACTTGGTTTTGGATGAAGGAGGGCAATTTCTTAATCTTCCAGTCAATTTAGCTCTGCGCTTAAGTGCTTCACTCAAAGATTTCCTGCAAAGGCCCTACGATTATTCTTGTCCGACGGTAAAATTGAGGCTATCAAGTCGAACATGCAAAACGTGTGGTCTTTATCATGCTTCCGTCAAGGCACTAAATCGTCACATCGAAAATATCCATAAAAAAGTAAACACAGCACACTGATAGGAAAGTTAGACCTGTAAGAGTCGCTGCTCGTCGTGCTAATGAACTGATGTGCATTATTCAAACTTTAGAGCACCATGATGTTGAATGGCTCGATGAGAACGACGTAGACATTCCAAAATCCGATGAAAGCGAGCAAACTCACAACAATGAGCAGCAATCGAAGCAATCCAATCATGGATTCGGGTTTCATGGACTGAAGACTGTTAATTTGAACTTAATATATGTACCAAAAATTTAATATAAGTTTGTTATGTTAGTAAGATATAATATTTTTGTCCTCTACTCTACGTTGAATACCGTATCAGTAAATATAATCTCCATCCTAAATCCATTTTCTTATTTTTCAAATTATAATTATAACGTATAATTATAATATTAAAAAAAATCAATACATTAATTGACAAATGTTTACGTAAGCATGGGGGGAGGGGGTAAGAGCTTTGCTTACTTTTGCTGACAATGGGGATGGGAAGGTAAATAAATGTAATAAATCTGCTTACGTAATACTTGAACGGCCCCTAAGTATATAACAATATTAATTTTTTGAGTTATTAGAGTCAAATGGAAAAAATAGAGGGTATGCGTATCTGAATTCGAACAAAAATGTATTTGCCTTCATAGGTTGGGACACCCTATACGCTATTAGTAGTCCATTTATGCTCGGACACAACAAAGATGCACCGCGGCAAAGCGGCAGCCGTCCAAGCCTTGCAATAGCTGTTGGTCATACGGCACTAAAACTACGAACAATCGCAGGAATAGACAGGATAGAACTCAGGCTCGGGGTATCGCCAGCACACCGACGCCGGCAGTTGCTGTTCATATTCGGTGCCTTCCAAGCGTGTGTGTATACGTTAGAATGTCGTCTACGGATACAGCAGATGCAACTGAGAACACTTCTCCCAATCCTTCTTCCAGCCATGCGTCCTCTTCAGGGATGTCTCCGCCCCGAAAACGTGACAAGAAGGGTCATTTGAATATTCAGGCAAAAGAAACTGTCCTTAACGTTTAACGAATTGAAAATTGATGATATTGAAAGACGTGTGGCGAACAGAGCAGGCTTATGTCCTAAGACGATTTTCAACATTGTTAAAGAATATAAAAAAATGTCTCCAGCACACAAAGGGCTGCGTTACAGGAAGCTGTTGGATACAGTTGATAACTTTGATCGGAATTCCATCAGACCAAAGGTGCACCAATTTTTTGAAAGGTAGGAACTACCCATCATAGACAAAGTATTACAAAAGGTTAATAGTGATGAAGGCTTACGTACTTTCAAAAGGACGACCACAATCTATAGTTTACTCGAAGAACTTGATTTTAAGTATAGAAAACAAGGCAGAAATAGTATTTTGATGGACAGCCAAAAGGTTATTTAAAATCAATAAAGCAATACCGCGACCAGGGCAGGAAGATTTATTACTTGCATAAAGCCTGGATAAATGCAGGACATACAAAATCTAAAGTATGGGCCGACTCTACAATTAAATCAGCAAAACAAGCCTCCTTAGATGGACTAACTACTACTAAAGAATCCGTGTCTAACCAATTCGTCATTTGTGTTGTAAAAATGATGTCAAGTAGACTGAATCTAACACTAAACTTAGCTATATCTGGTAGATTAGGAACCAACACCTGTTAGATATTCTGCGTGTATTATTATTTGAGTTTGAATTGTATATACATACGAGCTCCTTTCCACTTCAGTTGGCCCACTTCAAGATTTGTACCAAAATATGCCTTTATAAAAGAAACTATTTACTTCTAAAACAATTTATTTTCTCAAAAACATTTTAGATACACTCTAGTCGTGAAAAATACATATTTGAAATCACTTAGACCTATAACTAATAGAACATCTGAACAAATAAAAAATGTGCGAATAAATGCGCGAAGTTAACAAAGCAACAATTGAAAGATTACCGTTGGGTAACATCACCTTTATTTTTTATTACGGCTGAAATTCTTTGGGGCATAGTGTTAACCAAGTTTTGGCAAAAATTTGGTATAAAACAATCCCATATTTCTTGAAGCTTTTGTCTCAGTTCGGTGATTGTACGAGCAGGATGTTGTCGTAGAACCTTTTTCATCTCGTGCCACAAAGTTTCAATAGGTGACAGATCTGGACTGCTAGAAACCCATTTCAAAAGTGGTACATTATTTTCTTCCATCCATTTTATAGCCTTTTTTGAGGTATGGCACGCTGCACCATCTTGCTGAAACACAAAATCTTGGCCGGATGTCAAACATTCTTCCATCACTGGTAAAAGCGATTCTTCTAAAATTGCCAAATATTTGTTTGTATTCAAATTTCCATCAATAAAATGAAGTTTTCCTAGTCCTTTTGATGACATACTGCGCCAGGCCATAATGGATGCTGGAAATTTCACTTTTCTCTTCAGACAGTCAACATCGAATGCTTATTTTTTTTCGAATAACTCTACTGCGACTGTCACCAACACAAACTTCGAATCGGACCACATCACTGCATTGTATTGCACTCCATTGTTGAGGTGTCCATTGTCTATGTTCTTTAGCCCTTGCAAGTGCTAAATCCCAGGTTGATGGCATCTCTATGAGTTGTGAACCTCGAAATTCTCCTTCCAACAGCGTAACTCCACAGAGCACTTAATTGTAAATATACTAAGTGACATATAAATCCGAACACCCAGTTTAAATTGTTTTAATTTAATAAAATTTTGTATAAGTACTTAATAAAGCATAATAAGTAAATGATAAAAATTTCAAAATGATTGCACTGCTTTAAAGCCCTTTGACCTTTAATAATGTGTGGATGCACCCTGATGTGCTATGCATTCTCCAACGTGCCTAGGCATGCTTCTGATCAGGTGGTCAATGCCCTCCTGTGGTATCTCATACCAGGCAACCACCAACTCCTCTCGAAGTGCTTCTAGAGTCTGAGGAGGACGTTGCAAATTGAGCAATCTCCTACCCATCATATCCCACACGTGCTCAATTGGGGATAAGTCGGGAGATCTTGGTGGCCATGGTAACAATGTGATATCATTATGTTGAAAGAAGTCTATTGTGACTCTTGCAACATGTGGTCGGGCATTATCTTGTTGGAAAGTTGGATCTGCCAGGGTGTCAAGATAGGGTAAAAGATGGGGTTTTAGAACTTCGTGGATATAACGCTGCGCGTTCATGTTACCTCTGATGAAGATTCAAGCATCCCACAAACCGGCGCGAAATATTCGCTTTGGCTGCGATGAATTCGCGATCAGATTAAAACGCGGCGGTTTACGGACAGGCTCAGACTTGTGCGAAGCGAATACAATTGTTCCAGCGTTTTTATCGCGGCGTATTTCAGTTCGCCTTTGACAGCGTTTTTGACGCCGGTCTTCAAAAATTCGCAATGGCAAAAACGGAATTATTGATAGAAATCGTGAAAAAGTATCCTTGTTTGTATGATTTGTCGAGCGATGAATACAGGAATGTGAGAAAGAAAGACAAGATTTGGATGGAAATAGGAAAGAATTAAATACATGGCTATAAAGAAGATGAAAATGCTGATGTAGATGCAGAAGATGCACAGAACGCCTCGGCAACACAGACAGCACCACCTTCTTCATTGAACACTACAGCAGTGACTACTCCAGGGCACACCTTTCCGCAGACTGCAACTACACCAAAATATAAAACGAGCAGAAAACGCTATGAACCACCATCTTCGTCTGTACAACAGCTCATTAATTATTTTGAAGGTAAAAAACCTAAAAAAGAGAACGAGGCCATTGATTCACTTTTCTTGGCACATGCACAGACTGGGAAAACACTTCCCTTAAAGCGTCAAGCCCGAATAAAACTAAAAATAGCCGAACTAATAGCGCACGAAGAATTTGAACATATTGAAGAAATGTCTTCAGCGTCTACCCAGAATTCTGCAAGTATGTATGATAGTAGTATGTCGTCCTTCCCAAGCGGCACTGGGTTTACTCCAATAATATACCCAACAGAGGAGGCAAATTCTGCCTCGAATTATTTAGCAACATTTAATCCTAGTGGCAACATGTAGTCCAATTATTACAATAAAATATTTATTTCACGATCCCTGAAGTTTTCGTATTCGATAAGCCTACTAATTTTAATACATATAATTTTTTTACCTGAGTGTAATAGCAAGTCGTTCTTCTGGCGAAATAGCTTCACGATAATTTGTGTCAGATTTTCGTATTTCATCTTTCACCAAGTTCAATATTTCATCGAAACACTCTGGAGTCATTCTAAAATATACGTAAAAGCGCTGTTCATCCAGCCGAAGTTGTGGCATCAAGGTATGGTATTCCCCAAATTTATTTCGTTCCAAGTTAATATCATGTACCCACTTCCTTTGTTTCCTAAACAAAATTGAAAATATTTGTTTTATGTACTTCGTTAAACTTAATACATACCCAACTATCAAATGGCGTTAAATAAACATAACTTACCGTGCATTTTGTTCCTCTTCTAAAGCAAGAAATAGAAGTGCCTCCTCTTCTTCTCGAGCTCATTGCAAAAGGCAAAAATAAAATGTACGCAACCTGTCGAAACCTTCACGTTCGCGGAGCGAATAAGACGCTTTGGTATGAATAAACAGGCGAAACAGATTGCGAATTTCGCTCTGAATTTCGTTGCGAATACTTCGCCGCGATTATTTCGCGCCGGTTTGTGGGATGCTTAAAGGTGACCTGGAACCATAAGCTATAGCACCCCAAACCATAACTCCAACAGTGTGATGAACATGTCTTTCAACAAAAAACTGTGGATTCCTCCTTTCACCACGTCGCCTTCTAACCCTGGCACGACCATCGTGCAGGCCTAAACAAAATCGAGACTCGTCACTAAAGACAATACTGTTCCATTCCTGATCCCAGAGTGACCGTTGTCTGCACCACTCAAGGCGATTACGTCGGTGTTCTCGAGTTAAAGGGAGGACCCAGTGTGGCCGGTATGAAAACAAGCCAAACTTCTCATTCGTCGGTAAACACTTCGCATGC